ATTTCTCAGCTTCTGCACTCAGCCATTCCCCTTGACAGAAGGACGTGACCAAGCTATGGACCCAGCGGACAATCCCCTGTCCCTTAAGCGAGGTGAGCTATGCTGTGGACAAACTCTCACTCTCCTTCAGTACTTTTGAGGACTATCATATCAGACTGAAGGCTATAGCCTCCTTTGAAGAGAGTCTAGAGAGGATCCCAGGTTACCTCAATACTCCGGGCGTGGCTAACCTCCTGGCTCAACTAGACACTTTTAAGACTGCCATGTCAACATCTCCTCCAGTGCGGTTCAGCCTGCTAGCGCTCCAGTGGTTAGCCATCAGCCAGTTTCCCAGCCTGCTATCTATCAAGTGGATATTTACTTGCCTGGGTCTCGATCAGTCAGGCTTGGCACCATCAGCCTGTCCAGCCACTCTCCAAGCCTGCTCGATTCCAGTGGCTAGCCACCCGCCTGGCCTGCCCGTCTGCCTGCCTGACCCCCCAAACAAGAACTCTGGGACTGTGACTCTGCTGGCCTTCTTTGCCATGAAGGCAAACGTCAGCTGCTGACGTATTGCGGTAAGCGTGTTGACTCATTTCCGTTTCCGGTGCTTGTGTGTTGGTACCGTATTGTGCTGCTCTCTCTAAATACCAGTTACATTTGTTTGATTACAGCAGCCAACTGTTCGCTAAACACTTATTCTTTACAGTAATTTTGCCTAAGCACTCACAGTTCTTTCCATCTTTTAGTGACTGCTGTTCAATCTCATAGTTGTTCTAAAGTTTTGGTAGCTGACGTTACAGTACTTTAGCTTAGCCGTTAGCGACTTTAGCTTAGCAGCTAGCGATGGCTTCTCCTTCTCCCTCTCTCTCTCCTACTTTCTCCTGCTCGGTGTGTCAGATGTTCAGTTACTCCTCTGCCTCCTTTAGCGGTAATGGTACATGTAATAAGTGTAGTTTATTTATAGACATGGAGGCGAGGCTCAGTGATTTAGAAGTCCGGCTCCGCACCTTGGTAGATCAGTCTTTAGCTACTGTAGCTAGCCAGTCCCCGGTAGTCGGTGCGGAACGGCCTGAGTTAGCCTCTGGTAGCCGTCCCCCGGCATCTCCTGTGCAGCCAGGAAAGGGGGGGCTGGGTGACTGTCCGAAGGAGGAATAGTCGTAAGCATTCAAAGTCCACGGGGCATCATCAACCTGTTCACGTTTCTAACAGATTTTCCCCACTCAGCGACACACCCGCTGAGAAACCAACTCTGATCATTGGCAGCTCCATTTTGAGAAACGTGAAGTTAGCGAAGCCAGCGGCCATAGTTAAGTGCATCCCTGGGGCCAGAGGGGCGACATTGAGTCTTATTTGAAACTGCTGGCTAAGGATAAACGTAAATACAGTAAGATTGTTATTCACGTCGGCGGTAATGACTCCCGGTTACGCCAATCGGAGGTCACTAAGATTAATGTTGAGTCGGTGTGTACATATGCAAAAACAATGTCGGACACCGTAGTTTTCTCTGGACCCCTGCCAAATCTGACCAGTGATGACATGTATAGCCGCATGTCGTCATTCCGCCGCTGGTTGTCGAGGTGGTGTCCAGCAAACGATGTGGGCTTTGTTGATCATTGGCAGACTTTCTGGGGAAGACCTGGTCTGATCCGGAGAGACGGCATCCATCCCACTTGGGAAGGAGCAGCTCTCATTTCTAGAAATCTGGCCAAGTTTATTAGTGGACCAAATCCATGACAACCCAGAGTTGAGACCAGGAGGCAGAGTCGCAGTTTAACACAGTTCTTATCTGAAAAAGTGACGGTGTCTGCCCCCCCCCCCGACCATCGAAATTATTTAAAAAGGTAAACGGAAGAGGAGCTGTGCATAAAAACCTCATAAAAATTAAAACCACAAGAGCAATAGTGCAAACGAATAGGAGAGTTAAATGTGGACTCTTAAACATCAGATCTCTCTCTTCTAAAGGTGTACTAGTAAATGAACTAATATCAGATTATGATATTGATTTATTTTGTCTTACTGAAACCTGGCTGGGTGATGGAGAATATGTTAGCCTAAATGAATCCACCCCTCCCAATCATATTAATACTCACATTCCTCGAGGCACAGGCCGAGGAGGTGGAGTTGCAGCTATCTTCGACTCTAGCCTACTAATCAGCTCTAAACCTAAACTAAACTATAACTCATTTGAAAACCTTGTTCTTAGTCTTTCACACCCAAGTTGGAAATCACTGCAACCAATTCTTTTTGTTATAGTTTACCGAGCACCTGGCCCGTACTCTGAATTCTTATCTGAATTTGCAGAGTTTTTGTCAACTTTAGTCCTTAAAACGGACAAAGTTATTATTGTAGGAGATTTTAATATTCATGTGGATGTTGAGAATGACAGCTTCAGTACTGCGTTTATCTCTGTTAGATTACATTGGCTTCTCTCAGAGTGTTCATGAACCGACTCACTGTTTTAACCACACCCTCGACCTTGTTTTGGTGTATGGTATTGAAATTGAACATTTAGTGGTGTTCCCACAGAATCCCTCTTTATCCGACCACTGTTTGATAACTTTTGAGTTTGTATTGCTGAACTACTCGCCATTGGGCAAAAATTTCTATACAAGATGTCTGTCTGATAGTGCTGTAGCTAAATTTAAGGATGCGATTCCATCAGCTCTAAATACATTATCTAGTCACAAAGTAACGGAGGACTCCTATGCTAATTTCAGTCCCTCCCAAATCGATCATCTTGTTGATAGTGCTGCAGGCTCACTGCGAATGACACTGGACTCTGTAGCCCCTCTAAAAAAGAAAATTAAAAAATTAAAGCAAATATCACGGAAACTTGAGAGGAATTGGCGTTCCACCAAAGTAGAAAATTCTCGTTTAATTTGGCAAGATAGTCTTAAAACTTATAGGAAGGCCCTCCGTAATGCCAGAGCAGCGTACTACTCGTCATTAATAGAGGAAAATAGGAACAACCCCAGGTTTCTTTTCAGCACTGTAGCCAGGCTGACAGAGAGTCACAGCTCTATTGAGCCAAGTATTCCCATAGCTCTCAGTAGTTACGACTTCATGAGCTTCTTTAATGATAAAATTCTAGCTATTAGAGACAAAATTCACCAAGACCTGCCCTCAACTGGCACCAACTTATCTCTAAACTCAGGAACCTTAGAAACAGCTGTAGAACCAGATACATGTTTAGACTGTTTTGCTTCCCTCAATCTTTACCAACTAACTTCAATAATTTCTTCATCTAAACCATCAACCTGCCTCTTAGACCCCATCCCGACTAGGTTGTTTAAAGATGTTTTACCCTTAGTCAGCACCTCTATACTAGATATGATCAATCTATCTTATCAACAGGCTATGTACCACAGTACTTTAAAGTAGCTGTAATTAAAGCTCTTCTGAAAAAGCCCAAACTTGATCCGGATGTTTTAGCCAACTATAGACCTATATCTAACCTTCCATTTCTCTCTAAGGTTCTGGAGAAAGCAGTTGCTAAACAGCTGTGTGACTTTCTACAGAGCAATAGTTTATTTGAGGATTTTCAGTCAGGATTTAGAGCTCATCATAGCACAGAGACAGCACTGGTGAAAATTACGACCTCCTTATTGCATCAGACAAAAGACTTGTCTCTGTACTGGTTTTATTAGATCTTAGTGCTGCATTTGATACCATTGACCATCAGATCCTATTGCAGAGACTGGAACATTTCATTGGCATTAAAGGAACCACTCTAAGCTGGTTTAAGTCCTATTTATCAGATCAATTGCCAAAGTTACTCATGGAGTTCCTCAAGGATCTGTCCTCGGACCAATCCTGTTCACTTTATATATGCTTCCTTTAGGCAATATTATCAGGAAACATTCCATAAGCTTTCATTGTTATGCAGAGGATACTCAGTTATATCTATCGATCAAGCCAGATGAAACTCATCAGTTAGCTAAACTTCAAATGTGCCTTCAGGATGTTAAAACCTGGATGAGCTGTAATTTTCTCATGTTAAACTCAGATAAAACTGAAGTTATTGCTCTGGGGCCTAAGCACCTCCGTGACGCATTATCTAAAGATATAGTTTCCCTGGATGGCATCCCCCTGGCCTCCAGCACCACTGTGAGGAATCTTGGAGTTATCTTTGATCAGGACATGTCGTTTAAGTCTCACATTAAGCAAATTTCAAGGACCGCCTTTTTTCACCTACGTAATATTGCGAAAATCAGGAACATCCTGTCTAAAA